GGACTCAATTTGCACTATTTCTAGCAGTCTGCAAAGGCCCTCAGATTCAAGATGGACTCAAGTCATGTCAATGAATCAACTTGGACTTGACTTGGCAATAAATGATACACTGACTTGACTCGACTCACAACTTATCTATTTTTAATGACTGACTTGCTGGCCTAACTTCATCCTGAAACAGCAAACATGTTAGGCAATGGGACTGAAACAGGGATTGAGTTTTACTCAACAGCCTGTTCCCACTGATCATTCAAGTAGCCTTCTAAAGCTTTTCAAGAGCTTTAAAAGGATTTTTCTGCCTAAAACTCATTGCCTAACACATTTCCTATTCCCCTATGAGATTTTTTTTACCTAATTTTGTGCACGTATTCTTGATTTTCCAGTTACTAAAGCTCCACTCCCCCATACACATCCCACCACCACTTCCTTCTTTGCTGTTAAATTTGGCTCCCAGACTTGACACTCAACTTGAGACTCGACTTGAAAGTATCTTGCAAGGACATGAGGCTCAACTTGAGACCTGGAAGGCAGAAACTTGAGACTTGTCTTGAGACTTGGAGTAAAAGACTTGAATACATCACTGCCTGATAGTATGTGCTGTTCAACAGTGAAACAGACTGTCTTGTCTTTGAAGATCTTTACACAGAGATTAGATGGATCTCTCAAGAGTACTTTAGCTGTCTATTCCTGCATAGTAGGGAATTGGACTTGGGATCCCTTCCAACTCTATGATTCTGTAAGTACCGTACCAAATGAAATGTTAATAATGGCAGAACTTAGAAAAAGTCACTCTTTGGGATTACCATTCTTAGAATCCCCAAGCCAGGGAATTCTGGGAGTCTGACAAAGTGATATTAGCATTACTAAGAATAATGAATAATTATTGTACTCTGAATAACGTGAGGATGAATCCTAACACAGACTTATTGCTGTTTTGTGCCTTAAATCACTTTTGATATATGGTGACCCAAAGGAATCTACAATGGGTTTTCTTGGCAAGATTTGTTCAGAGGTGGTTTACCTTTCCTCTGAGGCTGAGAGTGCGATTTGCTCAAGACCACTCAGTGGGTTTCCATGGCTGAGCAGGGATTCAAACCCTGGTCTCCAGAGTCATAGTCTAAGTCTCAAACCACTACACCATGTAGGCTTTCTAAGGCAGGCACAGCTTTTTTTCCCCACTCACCCTCAACCTGCGTCCAAATACTGTGATCTGGCCCCTTGCTTGTTCTTTGCGCTGCCTCCACTCAACTAGGTTAAGACCGTTGTCAATGGGAAGGGTAACATTCCTCTTCCCCACAGTAGGGTTAACCGTGCCAGCCAGCAGGTGAGGTTCGGTTTGTAGCGCTACTTCCATGCCATTCGCCAGCATGAGCCGGAGGGAGCCATCCGCACCAATGTAATAGCTGTTTCGCACTTGGTCTGTAAGAAGAGAAAATAAAGTATCTCAGAGGGCAAAAAGTCTGTGACTAAAATAATTTCTGCAAATTAAATATAAAGTGGGAGAGGCCTAAGAAGAAAAATATCTTAGAATCAGCAACACGGTACTACTGTTTTGTCTCTGGCAATTATTAGTTTGAGTTTGTAATGATAACAGTGGTTGTTTGAACTGTTACAACTGATTTGTGGTTTCTCCCTCCTTGCCATTTTGAGAAGGACTGCAGGGGAAAGCAGAAGTGTTTGGGCTAGTATGGAGTTCTGATGTGCTTGTGGGTGTAGAGGAATTTTCCAATATTTTCATTTATGGGAGGGGGAGGTTCTGCCTAGGTTCAGAGCAAAAACTGCCTACAAAGTTAATTGATTTTTAAAAATAGTTACTGACCCCTGTATTAATTCCTAGAGTCCAGGACCTGTGTGCATGTGCATTTTTGTGTTTGGGAAAAACAGAAGAACATCTCATCTCATGTTTAAGTCTAATCAGAACTAAATAAGGTTGGTAGTCTTGGTAAACCAGAA